CCGTAAAAATTAAAGCATACTGATTGGCAACTTGCTGAGAGTTTTTATGGTGTTCTAAAAGAAGCTATCTCATAGCGCAAAGTGTAGCAAAATTTCATGAAAACTTTTTTGAATTACTATGAAAATTCTGCACAGTTTGCTCATTTCTCGTTATTAGACATTGTACTGATGAAAAGTGAAAGTAACGGTTTGAGGATTGATTTATTGGGAGTGCACATGTAAAGGCAACCAACTTCATAAGGCTCACCGGAACTTACCTCACACCAACATTTTTCGATCATTTCTTCATAAGTAGAGAAAATTTTCTGATTTATAAGCTCATAGATCTGGTCACACTCGTCTATATTTCGTTTAACGAATGTACTTTTATCTCTTCAAAAAACCAAACGTGAATTCATTCCATAGTCAGGTGTTCAGTAAGAATTCGTTTCGTCGAAATCTGACGTGCGGGAATTTCATTTTCATTTATGTTTTTCGAACTATTACGCATCTTTTGTGAAGATCGAATAATATTGTTATCGTTTTCAATAATTGCTGTTATAACAATAACAGTACTAATGAGCAGTGCAAGTGGAAATATTGATACTGATGAAGATAATTTATCAGGTTGTTTCGAAACTGAAACATTGAGCAGCTGTTGGCTATGTGAACATTCTCATAATCATCGTCATTTATATCACTATTATTATCATCTCGAAATTTATTCGCTACGCCCACCGAAGTAGTTTTTTTTTCCGAAATTTCATTGTCTGCCGAAGCAAGGTTACATCTCGCAACATTGAAATTTCATGTTGCAATCCTGATTTCGAAAGGTTGAAGAGTAAGTGGAGGATTAAATTAGTTCATGGCATTCGTTTCAACAAGAAAACGGCAACACTATGAATAGAATTTCTGATCGTTTTAAAAAGTAAATTTTCGTTATTTTTACGTTGGGAAATGATATTTTAAGGAAATGTTGTAATATTTTAATGGTAGGTAGGTTATCGTGAGTCGAGTAAGTTCTGGTGTTTGCAGTGTTCGAATCAAAATTGTTTGCAGTGGTCGAATCATTTGAAGTGATCCATTCTGACGAATGGATCACTTCAAATGATTCGGACAAGAGTGTTTCTGCATGAATGCCTCTGAAGTAAACTATTTTAAGATATCAGTGAATCATACGTCAGAATCTCAATTGTGAATCAGTTCCATTCAGCTCTCGTAAACAATCGATATTCCGATTTGATGTACATCTAGTGCAATCATTTTACTTATTCGTTATTGTTTAGCACTTATCACTTGAAGTCATCATATTCCTGTTCCATTGGCTTTTTCAAACTGCTGTTTCGAAGTTCATGAAATTTCTTTTCACCGTCGAAATTACTCTTGCATTTTGCAAGTTCCATCGAATGAAGTGATGATATTTTTGTTATTTATTAGGTGTTGTTGAATTCAGTTGAAGCACTGTTGCTATTTTCAACACAGTTACTTACTTTTTACATGTGCGAAATACTGATATGTTCGTTATCAGAAGAAATTGCATTGGTCTAGGTAGTAGTTGAAAATTATGTGATTAATTGAGATTGTGAATTGGGTGATTGAATAAGAAAAGAGATGCTCTAAATAGTTGAGTGGCTCAACTTTAGCCACTCAACTNTTTTTTGTGGTAATGAAGAGTGAGTGAAACTTATGGTTTGTTAATCGGATGAAAAATCATGGTTAGTTAAGCGATAGATAAATGGAATGACGGTGCAGAAGGTGAAATGAATCGATGATTTAGATGGATCGATATGTAAGTTCAAGTAGCGCAGTTGTTCGGGAATAAGAGTCAGACAGGACTGTTTTCGTATCGGATTCGTTTTGTCGTCTATTCACTGAGTATACATCAATCAGTCCCAACAACTTGCCTGAGCTTTAACACCATCCATTTTTTACATTCCCGTCTCATCTCATTCTATTTTCATCAAATCACTTCGTCGGTCAGTTTTTCGTTTACCACACTGAAAATAAACGAAAATGAACATGAGCTGTTTCAGTGCCTCTCACCATCCGAGCTAAGAGAACTTGAGCAAGTGCAAGTGTTGCGAAGGAGTGACGACAACTTCGAGATTCCATTCGAATCGAGCGTTAAATCGCCAGCTCCCCTCGAAACTATAAGTCCACAGAACGTGGTCACCAGCCCAGTTAGTCCCAAGCAAGAAGTTGAGCCCGAGCTATTGATACCTCGTGATTTCAATTTCTCATTCGATCCTGGTCTAGACTTCAATAAACTCTCTGCTACTGTTACAATGCCGTCTGGAAAGCACGACGTCGCACAAATTCAGGTTCCATCTCTTCGGCAATTTCTATCCCCGAAATCACGCAGCGTTTCATGCAACATTCCATTTGCTTACATTCTAAATGAAGAATCATTACATTTACAATAGATCATTACATTTATTCTAAATATTCGATCAGTTTAAGATAAAATCACTGAGTGATGCCTCAACCTCATAATAATAATAATCATGTACTGTGAATTTAAGGATAATCATGATGGGACAGTGACAGTGAGCTATAAACCAGTGCAGTGCGGTCATCACTCGTTATCGATACAACACAATGGTGTGAATATGGTCGGTAGTCCAATAGCGTTCTTCGTGGATGTGGCTGGAGCAGGACCGGTTACGGTTTATGGACCAGGTTTATCGCACGCAGTTGTCGGTGAACCGGCCGCGTTCACCGTATCTGCGAAAGGATCGCAAGCGAAAGAGTTGTCCGTCTCGGTTGAGGGTTGCGCGAAAGCGACCATCAAGTGCGATGATAATAAGGATGGTACTTGCTCGGTTGCATGGGTTCCACCCGTACCTGGCGAGTACAAAATCAATGTGAAGTTGGCTGGCAAACCGGTCAAGGACTCACCGTTCACAGTACTTGTGGCTGGAGAAGGACAGAAAAGAGCACATCTCTCAGTGGGATCAACATCTGAAGTAGATCTTATTGCTGCTATTCTCTTTTCTTTTCATTTTTCCACTCATGCTTTCCGGTCAAGGAATATGGGTAATCGAGTGATTACTGCAGGTATCATTGAATATATCAGCTAAGGAACTGAAAGGGTTGTCTGCATCAATTAAAAGTCCGTTAGGTATTGAAGAGCCATGCTTCATTCGTAGTATCGACGACACACATATCGGTTTGTGGTTTTCAGATGCTTTTTTCAATACGAAAGATATTAGTAAACATCTCAATAATGAGTAGAAAATTAGTTCATTTAGTTTTTAAGAAAGGATCATCGCAGGTTTTTGAAAAGTTTCATTTTGAGGTGTATCGTTTACGCCAAGAGAAGAGGGCGAGCATCTCATAACGGTGAAGAGAGACGGTCGAGTATTACCAAAATCGCCTTTCCGAGTGAAAGTCGACAAATCGCAGGTGAGTGAATAATTTGCAGCATTTTGAGGATTGTTTTTTGTTGTGAAGGTTCAGCTTCAAGTTGTTGTGAAGGCTCTTCTGCACTTCACTTCATTAGTTCAACCCTTCCACTTCCATTTTGAACCGTATTCCATTTTATTTCTTCAAGTAGTTGAGTGATATCTCATTAAAAAATTTGCTAATTCCAGGTCGGAGATGCATCAAAAGTGGTTGTTTCTGGTAAAGGAATAGCAACAGCAGTTTGTCAAGAGTTCAACGATGTTGTTGTTGACACTCGTAACGCGGGTTAGAATTTTATTGTGTAAACAATTGCGTCGTATTTGATTACGTTATCAGGTTGTGTATAAATCTTCATTTCAGGCTTCGGAGGTCTTTCTGTTTCGGTAGAAGGTCCGTCGAAAGCTGAACTGAGCTGTAAAGAAGCCAAGGATGGTTTGATTCATATTTCGTATCGTCCAACTGAACCCGGAATTTATATTCTCTCAATCAAATTCGCCGATCTTCACGTCACTGGTAATTGTGATTGCCTTCAGTTCAGTTATTGTCAAATGAAAATATTTCGACTGCAAACTAAAATTGTTATTGAAATTGCTGAATTATTATTCACGTTATCGATTGTTCCTTTTTTTTAAGATAGTCCGTTCACGGTGAATTGTACTGGAAAAGGAGTGGGCGCAGTTAAAGAAACAATAAGCAAAGACGCTAGTCAGGTTCGTGCATTCAAAGTGTTTCGTACACTCGACGTTCACTTCTTTTAATGAAATGCCATCAGGTTTAAGCAATGTGACTCTTTTGAAGGCACCAATGGTATTACCGGGCCAAGATGCGAATTTGTATTTGCATTTCCCTAAAACATCACCAATGGAAATGACGGCGAAAGTGATGATGCCGAACGGTCACAGTGAAGACGTTGAGATGCGTGATGTCGGTGACGGCTTCTATCAGATTCGTTTCCGAACCGAACAAGAGGGTATCTACGCTGTTTCGGTATTCCACAGAGATCAGCATGTATCAGGTGCGAGATGAAGTATTGTCGTTTCATTAGAAGTTTGATATGCGTTTCGTTTAGATAGCATCGCAGAAAATTGCGTTCAAATACACAACTCAAACGAAATCATCTTGTTTCAGGAAGCCCGTTCCAGTTCACTGTTGGTCACTTCGGCGAAGGTGGTGCGCATAAAGTGCGTGCCGGAGGAACTGGTCTGGCCAAAGGTGAAACACAAAACGCTCAAAGTTTCAATATATACACTCGTGAAGCTGGCAAGGGTAAACTCGCAGTGGCCATCGAAGGACCTTCGAAAGCGGAATTGAAGTTTGATGATCATAAGGTTAGTGGCAGCTGTTCAATAAGTGAGAGTTATCATCTGCTGATAGCGTATTGTTGCGACTACCGTAAGGTGATCAAGTTAGGATATTTTATTTTTGATTCAATGTACCACTTCAAATGAGACGTTAAAGTTTCGCTTATTGGTCACTGTTTTAGGATGGTAACTGTCATGTGGAGTATAAAGTAACTGAACCTGGCGAATATTTGATATCAGTCAAATTCAACGACGAACACATTCCTGATTCACCGTTCAAGGTTTACCGATCAATTTTGCAACATTTTTCCATTGCAAAAATCCTCAGCTTGCGATTTTTTTTCTTTCGTGAGCACATTTGCCGTTAAACTTGATCTCAGAACTGAGAAAGAGCATATGAAAACAAAAATTTAACGACTGAATTTTGAAATGTTCTCCAGAAGTGAACTGCAAACAATTCCCAACAAATATTCCGTGTTCTGTTTACCAGTGCCGATTTCATTGGGTGTGATGGCT